CGTATTGTGCCCCCTGCTTCACCCTGTTCTTGCATCTCCTCTGTCCTATCTCACTTAAAGATTTCATTGTTCTCTGAGGCCGTGGGGGGTGGCGGGTGGGGGACAAGGCTTCGGAGCTGCCAGGAACCTTTTCACTGTCTCCTGTCACAGCCTCTGGGGAGTCCCAGACAAAGCAACGGCCTCCTGGTGTGGATGAGAAATTGATGGGTTTTAAAGAAAAATGGCCCCTGAAGACTCTCTGAGTCTCAGCTAATATGCTTCTGATGCTGGCTTAGGTCCCGACACCCAGGCCAAAGAAAACCACCTACAGGTCTGCCTTATAATGTGCCGTGCTGTCTCACAACAGCAGTCCCTGCTGTCAGAACCTCTTCGTTTTCTCTCAATTTTATCCCCTCTGCTCCACCCCCTTTCCCACAGCCCTGTGCAATGTTTCTCTCCTCTAGATGATGCCACAGTCTCCTGCCAGTTGCCCCTGCCCCAGTTGGGCTCCCTGCTGCTCTTCAATCCCCCATGGCAGCCAAGGGGACGCCGACACTCCTGACATCTCCACTGGAATCTCAAACTTATTAATAAAACCAAGTGTTCGATTTCACCCCACAAATATGCTCTACCCTGAGTGGCCCTCACTCACCAAGTAACTTAGGCCAAAAGTCTTGGGGTCACCAACACCTCTTCTCTTCCTCTTGTATCCCACTTCTGATCTGTCAGCAAACCTTGTCAACTCTAAATTCAAGATGTATCCCAAATGCTCAGTGTCTTTCCATCTCCCCTGCCTTCACCTTCCTCCAGGCCCCCATCTCTTACCTGGATTACTGCAGCAGCTCCGAACGGGGCCTCACTCTTTCCGTCACTGCCATTCAGTCTGTTTTGTACACCGCACCTCCAATCCCATTTAAACACAAGTCATCACATCACTCAGAGCTCAGAACTCTCCAGCAGCTTCTCATCAAGCTAAGATGAAAATCCACTGTCCTTGCAGGGCCTTCATGGATCATGCTCTGGCTCCTCGTCCCCTCTGTACCTCCCTCCCTTGGTCACTCTGCTATGGCCACACTGGCCTCATTGCTGTTTGGTGACTGTGCCAAGAGAGCTCCCGCCTCAGGGCCTTTGCCCTTCCAGTTCCCTCTGCCTGGAATGTGTCCTCCAGACATCCAAATGGCCCCTCCCTTATGCCACTGAGGTCTTCCTCAAAGGGCATCTCCTCAGAGCCGACCACCTTGTTGGAAACGGCATCACTCTCACTCTGTCCCCGACCTGGCTTTATTTTTCTTCTTAACATCACTTATCCTCGTCTGGCATTCAAGTATATATTTACATTTACAGTTATGCTCTTATGTGTCTGTTGCTTTTCTTGCTCTGTAGAATGTAAGTTCCATGAGGCGGGGATTTTGTATTATTTACTAGCACAGAGCCCAGCACACAGTAGGTGCTCAATAAATATTTGTGGAATGAAAAAATGAATAAACAAATCAATGATTCTGGACAATAAGCCTAACCGCACTGCGCTGACCCTGAGGATCATCCTATAAGTGGGTGTTTTCCTCCGCCAGACTGCAGAACAGACCCCACATCTTGATAATGGGGCTGAGGGTCGCCTTACATTTTCTGAGACCTGAAGCCGAGATATCAAAACAGCTGAAGCAATTTAGCTTGGAATAACAAATGTTTCTTTAAGTCTGACTTGAGTCTTTAAAATATTCAAGGCTATTTTCTCAGTATTTAAAATTTAGGCACCATGAAAATACCCTATCACAGGAGGCATACGTTGCCTGTAGGGATTTGTAGTGGAAAACAGGAACCAAATAAAACTTAACAGCTATGATGTGTCGAGCATCTACCCGGTGCCAAGGACAGTGTCAGTTGCATGCATATCTCATTCTATCCTCATCGTGACCCCATATGATGAAAATTAGAATCATCCCCATTTTACAAAAGAGAAAACTGAGACTTTAGGGAACTTGCCCAGAGCTGCATAGTTAGGGGATTCAAATCCACATCTGCAGGCGACAGACTCCTGGGCTCCTTTCTATCCAAATAGGAAGCAAGCAGGAGGCTGAGACTCTTCGAGAGCCAAGTTCCTTGCGTACACATCAAATACCACTGCTTCTCTCAACTATAAGGCTTTCAAGAGGAGCTTGTATGCTTTGACGTCCTCAGCCTCTCTCCACTCTTCCAGCACCTGAAGTCCAGCGACAGCTCTCCTGTTCTTATCGGTATCCTCCCAATTGCTGAGTGCAATGGCCCATTTTTGGCAGCTCTCCTATTTGACCTCTTGGAGATACTTCAGTTATAACAATGCCCTTCTCCTCTGATTCCTCTTGATCCTTAGCTTGTCTGATGCTGCTCTCTCCTGGTTCTCCTCCTACCTCTCTCCAGGACAGTTTTAGGATCAATTTTATCATTGGCAAATGGGAATAAAATATCTACCTCACAGAGCTGTTGAATGAATTAAAAGGGTAACGTGTGCAAAAACGGTTAGCAAATGTCTGTTGCATAGAAAGTGTCCAGTGGGTTTTATCACTATTATTATCTTTTTCCACCGTCCGTATTCTTTTCTCTTTTTTTTTCTAATTTTTATTGAATCATAATTGATTATACATATTTTGGGGGTTCAAAGTTGAGATATGTTGATCAAATCAATATTACTAGCATATATATTGTTACAAATTGTACTTATTCTTTATGCCTCTTGTCCAGTCTCTCCTCATCCCCCTTTCTCTCCCCCATCCCAACTCTGGTAACCCTAGATTTCTTCTCTCCTTCTGTAAGAGTAANGGCCCATTTTTGGCAGCTCTCCTATTTGACCTCTTGGAGATACTTCAGTTATAACAATGCCCTTCTCCTCTGATTCCTCTTGATCCTTAGCTTGTCTGATGCTGCTCTCTCCTGGTTCTCCTCCTACCTCTCTCCAGGACAGTTTTAGGATCAATTTTATCATTGGCAAATGGGAATAAAATATCTACCTCACAGAGCTGTTGAATGAATTAAAAGGGTAACGTGTGCAAAAACGGTTAGCAAATGTCTGTTGCATAGAAAGTGTCCAGTGGGTTTTATCACTATTATTATCTTTTTCCACCGTCCGTATTCTTTTCTCTTTTTTTTTCTAATTTTTATTGAATCATAATTGATTATACATATTTTGGGGGTTCAAAGTTGAGATATGTTGATCAAATCAATATTACTAGCATATATATTGTTACAAATTGTACTTATTCTTTATGCCTCTTGTCCAGTCTCTCCTCATCCCCTGTTGATCAAATCAATATTACTAGCATATATATTGTTACAAATTGCACTTATTCTTTATGCCTCTTGTCCAGTCTCTCCTCATCCCGCTTTCTCTCCCCCATCCCAACTCTGGTAACCCTAGATTTCTTCTCTCCTTCTGTAAGAGTAATGGTTACTCTGTTGATTTGCTGCCTAGATGATCTGTCCCATGCTGAGTTCCACCCTCCATATTCTGTCCTTTAATTTTTTTTTTCAAGACTTCTGAGCTTCAGAACCTGTACTTCTAACTCCCTCTGGTCCTCACCTATAATTTCACTGGACTCTCAAAAGGAAAATAGCCATCTTTCTGAATTCTCCCACTTTCTCTGTCTCAGTGGTTGATATCACCACATTCTCTGTCATTCAAACCAGAGGCCTCATCATCCCTGTCCTTGATTGTCCTCTCACCTCTGCCTCACTCCATTATTCGAGAGGTCACCAGCCTGTCAACTGTACTTGTAGAAATGGAGCTGGGAGCTTGGGCTCTGATGTCAGATGGACTGGGCTTGCCTTGCAGCTCTGCTGTTCATTAGCTGTGTGATCTTGAACAAATTACATCATCTCCCTGGCCTCAGTTCCCTCATCTACAAAATGGGGATAATAATAGTAACTACTTCATAGGGTCATTGGGAGGGTTAAATAAAGTAATACAATTAAAGAGATTTCCAGGAGACCTGGTATCTGGCAAAGGCATAATAAATGTTATAATTATTATTATTACTACTACTACAATTATTAAGTTGTAGTTACCTCCTGTAGACGCTGTGTTTAAAATACTAGAGCTTTTGTGCAAATGAATTTTGTTGGCAAAGAACAAAGAACAAGGGACCCCAGATTTTGTGACTTGTCTGTTCTCATTAGGTGGGAATTAGCATGTGCATGTGTGTGTTCACTTATGTCTGAGTGCACACACGTACACACATGTACACATACACATGTGTTATAACTCTGCCTCAGACCAGGGCCTTTTTCTATAGAATGACCAGCAGGATGGGTAAAAATGGTATGGTTTTCTCTCTAGACTCCCTGGTTTGTATTTCCCACATCCTCCTTCCTATGTGGAGAGAAGAAAGCTGAGTTTACCTCCTGACACCTTGTCATTAAGGGTCAGTGACTAATTCAGATAACCAGGGCCTCGTGGTTGTATAGGCATTGCAGACACCAAACCCAGGTCTTGTGGTTGGGATCTTCTTCCATTGGCCGGAGTTTATAAACTATTGTGTTGAGCTGGAAAACTTCTATTGTTCCTGATTGACAGCCAGAGGACAGTACTTTGAGTGATCTGCTGCTATAAAATTGGGATCTCCCAGGTGATGTATAAATGGGTTGTTACTTTGCATCTTGCACCACATGAAACATCTCAGGTACCTTAATCCCATCTTTTCCAGCAGTTGAGCTTGGCTGATTCCTTGGGGTGGGGTGGGTGGACATGCCACATGCCACTAGCCCCCCCATCTCATGCGTTCGCCATACATCTCCTGACTGCCCAGGACAACAAGGGCAGCTCGTGAGCTGCAGCAGCTGAAAGTCAGGAGCCCAAGGTCATGTACCAGAGGCCACGAGAATTTTGCATTTTATGTTGCTCTCATTTCTAACCATTGGAACAAGCTGTGTCCAAAAGGGAAGGGATTGGAGAAACCACACCCAGTTTTGTTTGCTTCTGTTTGGCTTTGGCTTCTGCTTGGGTTTTTGTTTTCCCACCCACCATCAGTTCTTTTCTTCCCCTCTCATAGTGCGGACGAAATGCTGAAAACTTCGACCGGTTTTTCACCCGCCATCCACCCGTCCTAACACCTCCTGACCAGGAAGTCATCAGGAATATTGACCAATCAGAATTCGAAGGATTTTCCTTTGTTAACTCTGAATTTTTAAAACCTGAAGTCAAGAGCTAAGTAGATGTGTAGATCTCCGTCCTTCATTTCTGTCATTCAAGCTCAACGGTTATTGTGGTGACATTTCTTTTTCATTGCCAACTTGCATCCCTGTTTTATTTTCTGATATGACTAGAGTGACCATGTTTCAGAACCCAAATGTCCTCAGGTAGTTTGGAGCATCTCTATGAGATGGGATTATGCAGATGGCTTATAGAAAATGCTGCTGCATAATTAACACGTTATCAAAGTCCTCTTACAATTCATTTTCCACAGCATGTCAGCTAAGTAGATCCAGTGGGAAGAGAAAACGCCTGCTTTCTTTTCCTCTTTTTCTGCACTGCTGTTTCACCCGCACCATCCAGTCTAGACTCTTCCTACCGTGTGGGTGGATAATCGGATGCTAGCAGTATTCCTCTACTTCCGGGCCTGGAGCTTGGCTTGTATCCAAGGATATGGTTGCTTTGACCTAGAGGGAATCCTTCCATTCTGCCTTTTCTGGAGGGACCAGAGCTTTGAAAAGAACATGCTAAAAATAACATGTTCCAGTTTTTTTAGCTCAAAGTTAAGAAGATTATCTACGTCCTAAAATTCCAAGAGCGTGCTTTTAGACAACTTCAGTCAAAAAGCACTTAAAGGGGTCAAAAGGCAACCAGCTTGGGTACTACCTCGATGCCGTCATTTCTGATGCTGTATGTCCCTGATCACCCCCATCCCCTAAACTACTTGAAAAGGGCATTTGGCACCACTCCCTGAAAGAACATGGTCACTCTAGCAAGGTCCCAAAGGTCTTACATTACATTTCAAACTTTATTTGCTTTGGGGTTTTATTTCTGTTATTGTTCAAACGCGAAAAAGAAAAAAAAAGGTTATCAATTTGTTACACATGCTTTAAAATATGTGTCCAAATGTTATTAACCACAATGACCTGCTTTGATTTCACCAAGAAGACGGCTATAGAGCCTGGCAGACTCGTGCCAGTGGGGATGGGTTGGTCTAGGTTTGTTGCTGGCTTTGAAAACCTAACTAAGTGCTCTGAGAGAGACACCATTTCTTGAAACAGACAGTTGTATTCTTCACTTTAATGTTGTTTTGCAAGATGTTTGTGGAAATGTCCATTTGTGTCTGGATATCTGTTATGTGCCATTTTTCTTCTAGCATCGAGATACAATAAAAAAAAAAAAGAAAGAAAGAAAAGAAGAGAAGAAATGCTATTTCAAGGAAAACTGCTCTTTTTGAAAAATGTGGACCCAAACTACGAATTGGGTCCCGAGGAAGGAAATTGGGCAAGAGGAACTAAGTCCAGAGCTTAACCTTGGCCCAGTGTTCAGCCAGTCAGAGGCAGGGGTTGTGGACCATTCAGGGATGCTGGTGGCCTGTAATGGGGTGAAATGCCCTGCCCAGAGGCTCCAATGATGTCAGAGCCTAAAGCCCACATTCCCACCAGAGTCAAGTGTACAGGCCAGCCAGGAGCATGGCTGGGGCTCTTGCTTTTCTTGTCAAAATTGCCACTCCTCCCAGCTTGGACTTGCAAGCAGCTTTGTGAGCTCTCAGAAGCCCGAGGAAACTCCTTGAGTGGGAGAAATTTCATTTCTGTCTGAGCAGAGGAGGACAGTGGGTCCCCATCCATGCCTACTGTGTCCTGCTGTTCTCAGGCGGCCCTAAAGAGAATTCTTATCACAGTTCAAGTGATTTCCAGAGGCTCCAGAGCTGCCGAAAGACCATCAAGGGAACTCTAAAAACTTGACAAATAACCTTGAAGCAAGACTTCTTATCTTTAGGAAAAATTTGGATTTCTGATTAGGCAAAGTCCCCTGCAGTTAACTCCTTTCTGTTCCCTCCTTTCCCCTTTGCTTTAGCCTTGGGGACCGTCCCCGATGTGGCCATTGTGGTAGCAATCTGGACCTGAGGTGAAGCAAGCTTGAAGCCCTAGCTGATAAGCTTAGGGGGTTAGAAAGGAAGAAAATTGAAGCAAAACCCCTCAGTTTGCTGTTGGGGAAACTGGTATCTGGAGAGAGGAACTTGCCTGAGGTCAGTCAGCTGAGAGACAAACCCAGCTTGCGAGCCATGCGCAACCACAGGCAAGTTATTCGAGGGTTTCATTTGGCTTCACTAGGCCTTTGCGTGGACACACTCTTCAGGAAGATAGAAACCATGGAGAAACACTGGACCATTCACAAATGATCTAACTTCAGAGAACAATGTAGGATGGATGGATGGATGGATGGATGGATAGATGATAGATAGATAGATAGATAGATAGATAGATAGATAGATAGATAGATAGATAGATAGATAGATAGATAGATAGATAGATAGATAGATAGATAGATAGATAGATAGATAGATAGATAGATAGATAGATAGATAGATAGATAGATAGATAGATAGATAGATAGATAGATAGATAGATAGATAGATAGATAGATAGATAGATAGATAGATAGATAGATAGATAGATAGATAGATAGATAGATAGATAGATAGATAGATAGATAGATAGATAGATAGATAGATAGATAGATAGATAGATAGATAGAATATAGTGTATTTATATATACTGTACTCTACATTTTCCAGATTCTTGCCATTATTTTTCAAATATTTAATAGTTTGCAGAAATAGGTACTCAAGCCAAAGTCTCTGTTCCCCTAGCACACGTGGCTAAGGGTTGGTCAGAGAAGCCTTCTGTGAAAGTAAACAGTCATTAATCAGAATTTCCACCGTCCTCTTGTCTATCAACATTTTCAGTACAGAGGAGACAGAGAAACAGAACTTTCATCATAAAATCTCTGGGGAGTACTTTGCAAATTTATCCAGGAAGAAAGATTTTTAAATTTATTTTTGTGATCATCCATTTATTCCACTCTCCATTCATTCAGCCAGCATTTATTGAGCACCAACTGTGTTCCAGGCTGTATGCTGAGTGCCAGGAGCATAGTGAGGGACAATAAATATTCAGTCTACACCCTCCCACCCCCAGCATACCATCTGGTGGGAGGACAGTCAAAGATAACTAGTCTCTGGGTTAGTCAGGGAAAGCTTCTTACAAAAAACAACACAAAAAAAATCATTGAAAATCTTTGGGTGTCCTCTTTCTCTCTTTAGACCACAGTCTGAGACTGAAGGAGAAGATACAACAGCACCTCTTGACCCTGCTTTCTGCAACAATCACACAGTGCGATGGGTGGGGAGAGGGAAGGGATGGTAGCTGGGATGAGTTTCCTTCTAAAATGCTACAGGCACGGTCTCCATGCTTAAACAGACCACAGAATCACCAAGATTTGAGCAGACACAGACACCCATACTGCCTCTTTATACGGAGAGAGAGAACTGGTTTTACAGCATGGCTCCGTCTTTCGGGGTGTGTCACTGGGATACCTGCAGATGTTACCCTTTCTGGTCCTCAGGGAGACACCAGTTCCCCTCCAGCACACTGTTCCCACCCCCCCACCCCCATCTGGTTCTGCTAGCCCAGCTGAGATAGTCTGAGATTTTCCCAAAAAATTAAATTAGGGGAGAATAAAAAAGAAACTAAATGAGAAAATCCAAAGAAACCTAAACACATTCCATGTTAGCCATGGCTAATTGTCTACCGAGATCCAAGAATCCTCCTTTTAATTTTTTAGACTTCTCACTGACCTGCTCCTCTTCTGAGAAAATATAGGGCCATGGTCACAATGACCCTCTTGGGCTAGTGGAATTAATAATTCTCTTTGGATGTGTGCTACTATTCTCATGTAGCTTCAGATGCTATCAACTCAAAAGGAATTGTCCCAACAGGGAGGCCCATTCTCTCCCAACTTCTAGGATAAATTTCAGGAGTCTATTCTTCGGGGATCTCCCCACAGGACATAGTTTACAAATGCAGGTCCTATTTGGACCCTGTGTCTGCAGCATGAGCTGTCACCAGCACAAATTGGAAGGATTTCCCACATTGCGGCTAGTGGGAAGGGATTTCTGCTGGACGCCCACAGGCAGGCCAGGCCAGATGGGGCGACAGTACCAAGGGAGACCTGCAGGAGGCAGCTGCCTGTCCTCCAGCCCCAGATACACCTGCCTTCTTGCCCACACCTAGCCCTGTAGCTCTCAGACTTCAAGGGGTCTAATGCAGTTTAGTTCATACAGGGGCTCAAAAGGGACAGTGGCCCATCTGGGAGACCCTTAGGATCAGTGGGAGTAAGTTCCATTGTTTTGCTTCAGAATGAGATCCCTGGCTTGGGGGCGACTACAAGTTGAAAAAAGGGAAGAAGGTCACCCTTAGTGAAGTCTTCTTCATTGATTCATTCATTCAACAAATAATTATGAATAACCTACTATGTGCCAGGTGCTATTAGCACTGGAGAGATAACAGTGAAGCAGCAGACAGGGACCCTTTCCTCCTGCACAGAAGCAACAAACAAGGCAATTTCTGAAATCAAGTGCAGTGAAGACAATTGAAAGGATGCTAAAGGACCCTTTTTTGAGGGAATCAGGAGAGTGATGAGGGATGCACAGACAGTATTAAAGGAAGAGGAGGCATTTGAGCTTTTCTCTGAACTTGGGGAGTAACACACGGGCGTCTGGGGGACGGAACCTCCCACAGCACAGCACAGGCTAACAGCAGCCAGGACAAAACAAAGCAGAGTGGGTGGGACGTGGCAGGAGACGCTGCCAGCCATCCGATCTAGATGCAAACAGCTCCATCGGCATCTTTGGCCTGCTCCACTCTGGCCACACGTACCCAGGAGCACTCCTCGTGCCAGCTTGTCCCCCAGCCCCACATAGACTCTGCAAGAGTGACTAGGGAACTCCCCAGAGACATTTTACCTACTTCAGGGGAGCAGCTGAAAGGAAGCAATGCTTGAGAAAAAGATGTTTTGCAAAGGGGAATGAGCCCAACAGTGAGAAATCCTTATCAGCCAGTGCCCATGAAGGGGCTAAACCAGTGCCATGATGGGGCATTTGTGGCAACTGGCCAGACTCTCACGAGTCTAACCCCACAGACCCCACTGTCTTCATAACCTGACAGAGCTCTGGCCTCGGCCAGGCAGCCTGCCTGGTGCCAGTGAAACCCAGGCGTTATCCTTGGCTGTCTTGTGATAGAACAGCCACCAGGCTGTCCTGCCACTCAGGGACTGAGGTGAGGCATGCTTAGCCATGGTGCAGTCAAGTCAAAATCACCAACCCCTTGTGCAGTCTTGGGCAAGTCACTTTACCTGCCTATGCCTCAGTTTCCTCATATGTTATACAATGGGCAGTGAGGTCTCTAGCTCTACCTGCCCACCAGGTGGGTTTTTGTGAGGATGGGAAGAGATGACAGTCTGACAAGGACCCTAGAGAAGTCAGAGCATCATACAGAAGATCTGTTCACTAGCCCACACTCTGATGTTTCCTGGTAAAACTCACCCCAAACGACAGTCAGTAAACTGAGGTTAATGACCCCACTCCCACCACTAAAAAAAAGAAGAAAGAAATGCTAGACTAACTAGCAGAATAGAGTTGTTTTGTTTTGTTTCTGAGGCTGCCCTTACCGATCTTACTTTAAGCCTTGAGCTTTGTTTCTTACGGTTGGTTGACTAGATTATGCTGTAAACATCTTTGGAGAGCACCTCTGGCCAGTGAAGACCCAAGTTCTAGTCTGTGGGTGGGTTTTGAGCATCAGTTCAAAGCCTGGATTTCACCGGTGAGTTTGGGTGAACAGTGGTCAGCTCCTTTCATTAAGCAGAGCCCTGATTTCCCCACAAGGCCATTCTGCCTTCTTGGGAGCACAGTGACCATGCTACAGCTCCCCTTTCCAGAGAAAGAGGACTCCTAGCCACAGCGATTGCTACTGAATGGTTTTCTCTGGGACACTCTACCTAAAGCCTAATTCTATGACATTATGCATGGTAAGAAGTCATTTCCAATTTGATTCATCTCCAAGCCCAAGAAAACACCCCTCCCCACCCCCATACCAGTTATAGCAGTCCTTAAAGAAATTCAATGACTTTCTTTCTTAGAAAAAATTTCCAAGTTTTCTATCCTGAAGTCAACATACTATGGGAAATGAAAACTAGTGCATGAGACACTGTCATTAAGAATGGTCAGCACAGGGCTCTTTCTGACTCTGCCCATGAGACGTCGTCAGCCTCCCTGTCACTGGCATGTCTTGGTCCTGTTTCCTCCTTCTTATGCTCTGTTCATGTGTTTGCTTTCCATTTGGCAGAGAGACAAGC